CTTGAAACAGTTTAACCAAATGTGCAAAGAAAATTAAGGCAATTAGATTATAAGCACACTATGGCTCAGCAATAATAAAACTTTCAGCCACATTAATGAAAATGCAGAATGAATTAAAGCAGAAAACTATATTGGGATGATGAGGGAAAAGGAAGGTCATAAACAGAGATTTCTCTTTTACCATAATGAGACAAACTGTAATGTTTAAAATTTCCATGTAGGCATATTATTCGGAAACATATAAGTATGTAACACTAGAAAAAAAAGAGCTTAAATAGAGGATGACACACATTTTAAGATTTAATGGTATTTAATTTCTTGAAATAAAAATGTACATGTGTTACTTTGGTTCAGCATCTACCAAGTGCCAGGCATTGGGAATATAAGAGGGAATAAGACAAAATGCATACCTTAGGGAGTTTATTTCCATTGAAATAAACAGACATCAAAAGTAAACAGATTTCTAATACCATTAATAGGTAGTACATAAAAACATTACTCAGAAAAACAGTACAGTAAAGATGTGGAGAAGCATAGCTGGGGCTGGAAGTGCGCTATTTTTGATAAAGTGGTTAGGGAAGTCCTCTCTGAGGAATAACATTTAATCAGAAACCTGAATAAATTCATGATTTGAACCTTTCAAACCACTGGGAGCAGAGAGATGATACATTTAATTTTGGTACACTTGAAATCAAGAAAAAGCCCAGAATTAAATAAGCTAAAAATTCTAAGACATAAGATCTGAGCAGTCAGAAGTCTAGTACAGTAACAATTCCATAAAAAGTTGGAGCACTGATAAGTACTCAAAATTATAACATGAGATTCACCAATGAAAAGGAAATTAGATAATTAAGATGTGCTAGTTGGTTCTGAAAATGAACTATAATTAAAACCTTACTTCATTTGTCCTTAATTCTGGGTAACATAAAAAATAACTGAAGGTGAGGGTTTACAGTCATAACGTAGAGAGAGAGGCTGGCACTGTGGCATAGCAGGTAAGGCCACCACCTACAGTGCCGGTATCCCATATGGGTGCCAATTCAAGTCCCAGCAGCTCCACTTCTGATCCAGCTTTCTGCTATGGCCTGGGAAAGCAGTAGAGGATGGCCCAAATCCTTGGGCCCCTGCACATGTGTGGGAGACCTGGAAGAAGCTCCTGGCTCCTGGTTTCAGATCAACACAGCTCCAACCGTTGTAGCCAATTGGGGAGTGAACCAGTGCATGGAAGACCTCGCTCTCTCTCTCTACCTCTCCATCCTCTGGGGCTGGCGCTGTGGCACTGGCATCCCATCTGGGCACAAGTTCAAGTCCTGGCTACTCCACTTCAGATCCAGCTTCCTGTTAATGTGCTTGGGAAAGCAGTGACAGATGGCCCAAGTCCTTGGCCCCTGCACCAACATGGGGGACCCAGAACAAGCTCATGGCTCTTGGTTTTTGGACTGACCAAGCTCCAGCCATCACAGCCATATGGGGAATGAACCAGCAGATGGAAGATCTCTCTCTGCCTCTCCCTCTCTTTAACTCCACCTTTAGGTAAAATAAATAAACCTTTAAAAAAAAAAAAGAAGACCATGGCTATGAGAGCTAAACAATAAATAATTAAAAAAAAAAGGAATATACAACTTTATTTGTGAACTTAAAGATTCCTGTGCATATTTATAGAAACTCATGTATACAACCACACAGATATATAAAATAATATTTGCAAAGGCAATCAGATTTTTTTTGCGAGAGAGGAGGTACAGCCAGAGTGGATCAGCGAGTGAGGAGAACAGAGTACGTCTTCTTTGCCATGGTCACGTCCAATGACCACCGCGCCGCGCACTGCGCTGATCCAATGGCAGAGCCAGGTACTTATCCTGGTCTCCCATGGAGTGCAGGGCCCAAGCACTTGGGCCATCCTCCACTGCACTCCCGGGGCCACAGCAGAGAACTGGCCTGGAAGGGGGCAACCGGGACAGAATCCGGCGCCCCGACCGCGACTAGAACCCGGTGTGCCAGCACCGCAAGGCGGAGGATTAGCCTAGTGAGCCGCGGCGCCGGCCGGCAATCAGATTTTAAAATTGTTTCCTTCAATGATAATTATATAGAAGTAATCAGTCTTCTGTCTTAACATTAAACAATACAAAATTGCAGGCTTAATAATATATTTTCAAATTGTTGTACCTAGACAATACATGCCTTAGTATGCTTATTCCCAGAAAGATCTCCAATTTCTGAGAAAATGCCTGGGTTCTAAAATGTTACACAACAAAACAAAACAAGTGGTAAGAGTAAGATAAAATTGAAAGAAAGTTAAGACAAAGAAGTACGTAAAGAAATTAATAGTTCTTCTTTTTAAAGATTTTTTATTTATTTATTTGAGAGGTAGAGTTACAGACAGTGAGAGGGAGAGCAGGGAGAAAGGTCTTCCATCGGCTGGTTCACTCCCCAAATGGCCGAAACAGCCAGAGCTGTGCCTATCCAAAGCCAGGAGCCAGGAGCCTCTTCCAGGTCGCCCACGTGGGTGCAGGGGCCCAAGCACTTGGGCCATCCTCACTGCCCTCCCGGGCCACAGCAGAGAGCTGGACTGGAAGAGGAGCAACTGGGACTAGAACCTGGCACCCACATGGGATGCCGGCGCCACAGGCGGAGGATTAACCTACTGCGCCACAGCGCCGGCCCTGAGATTAATAGTTCTTAATACTAGTTGCCCATTTTAATCATCTTGGCACTGATGCACAGGCCACCTTACCTCATTCTGATTTAACTGGTGTCAGGTGGGGCAATGGACATATTATTCTAAATGGTAACCAGAATTGGGTACTTCTCAATTAGAAGTGTATAGCTGTGGAAATGGAGATTGGCAGTTAATTCTGTTCATATAGAAAACAAAAATACACTCTAAGATATGAATCTGATCATATTATTCCTTCTATTAAAAAAAAAATGCCACTGACTGCTCTTCAAAGGTTCTAACTGCTTGCTCTGCAGTCTAATGTCCCAGCAGATACCACAAACCCTCTGTGATCTGGTTCTGCTGGCTACCTCTCCAACCTCTTCTCTAACTTGGCAACAAGCAAACTAAGATACTGCACAAAGTAACTAGTTTCTGCTACCTCAAATTCATCAACCAAATTAATCCCTCTGCATGTTAGTCCTTCTGTCTAGAGAGCGTGACTCTTGTACTCAATCTCCTGCTATGCCTGGATGAACTCCAACTCATCTTTCAGGTCCAAGTCTACCCCAAACTGCAGTCCTCCAGTAAGCACCTACAAAAAATTAGTCACTTGTGATTTTGTGTGTGTGTGATCACTGTATTTTCACATATATCTGATCAATAATTTACCTCACTGCATTTTTTAACGTTTATCTCATTTAGTAATCTTTTAATACTTCCAGAGCAAGGAAAGTATGTATCTTTCTTGTTTATTTTTAGTTTTTTGTATCTCCCATAAGTACATGTTGCAGGAATCAATGAGACTAACAGAACATATTAATCATCAAACACTTGCAACATGAAAGGGAAAGGGAAAGAAAATTCTAAGTAGAAACGGGGATTTAGGAGATCTGAATAATTAAGCGGCTATAAAAGTAGCTCATGAATTTGTCACAATCTGACAAATTTTCCCTTAGCATCTGTTATTTCCTTTAGTTTTAATTAAGGAAACTTCAAACGACAGAAGATAGAGTAGTAATAAAACAGAAAAGGGAAAAGAGGAATGACATGGGGTACATAGGGAGAACCAGCTACTTCGGTTATGTTTTATTTCTTAAGTTCCAGGGAACAATAAACAGGTGATTATTGGATTAATCTTCATGTTTCAAAATGCTGCTTTACATTATGAACTTATGTAACAAGACCAGAAAACATAAACTGATAAAAATGACAACGATGTAGTAAATTTAAACTTACAGAAAATCTCCACAAGGAGTTAAATAAACTGGCTACACTGAAACCTCCTGAAAAGTGCTATTTATTTGTGGTAACTGCATAGGAGCATATGCATATACATTTGCCAAGTGTATGCATGTGTCTTTTTTATAACCTCAAAAGATACTATTTTATAGTGTTATCAATCTGCAGAACAAATGAATTACAGCCATCCATTTTCTTCACCACTTCTTAAATCCAGAAAAAATGATAAGCACACTAGCAGTAACAAATTGGTGCCACTCTAAAAATATACCAGGTTTACAAATCACGTAAGGGTATAAAAGGGAAAATGAAACCAACTGAATTTCAAAACTAGTTTCAATTACTAGGAGATCATTCCATTAAAAAAAAATGCTTAAAACCTTATTGCCCGCCCCTTTTGTGTGTGAGTATTTTCTCTCTCCAGATCACATCTGCTGCTGACTCAGAACAGGTTTTACAACTTCTTGGCTCTTTGGACCTGCAAGTTTAGTGCCTCACAACCTGTTCAACACCAACGGCGGACACGTAACATCTTCCACACAACCGAAAGCATTTTTTTTTTTTTACGCCTACGAAAAGAAAGGGTGTAGGATGAAATTGTCCGGAAACCCTGTTTCTGAATAGAACTCATTCTCGAGTCCTAGAAAGCCAGAGAAATAAGAGAGAGGAGGAAGGTGCACTGGCTTTGAAGGGCAGGGCGGAAAACAAAGCAACACCAGTAAAAAGAAAAGTTTTCGGTTCCTGAGCGGACACTCACCCTGACAGACCCAAGGATGCTTAATTAAGGACGGAGAGGGCCCTGGAAATGCCTGCAGGCAACTTCAGGGGTTTTCCGCTCCGCTTGGCTAATATTCCAAATTCCCAGTTTGGATTCTGGGTCACCAAAAGCCTCTCTTCGGACTTCCCCTTTGACCGCGCAGAGCACGTCTCTTCTGCACATTCTCACGGTCTGAAACACCGAGTTTCTCCCCGCCCCCTCGACTACGTCCGTTCTCGGGGTCTCAGAACGCCCCGAGCTGCCCAGAGCCCTGCCTCCGCTGTCCCCTAGGGCAGTCGCATCGCTGCCTCGGTTTCGAACCGCGGCGCAGCTCCATCCTCTCACCTTGGTTACAGAAGAGGCTCCACAGCTTAGCGAAGATCAGCCCCATCATGAGCACCTGGGCGGGCCGTGGGGTTCCCTCAGCAGCAGGTGCCGCTGCGCCGGGCCCCCCAACGCGACGCTGCCTGTCCGGAACCAAGGAGAAGCCGACCGAGACCGCGCGGTGACAGCACTGGTCGGTCGACAGTCCCCGACCCGCAGCTCAGTTACCGGTCCGAAGGTGCTGCGCCGAGTCTCCACCAGCTAGTCCTTTGTTCCGAGCCCAATGAGCCCAACGCCGACCCGTAGTCCCCTTGGTCTGAACCCACCTACCCACCAAAATCTCTTCCAGTCCCAAGCCCCGCCTCCGCTCCGCCTCCCCTCCTGGTTCCGGACCACCCATCGCCGGAAGGACGGCGCGTGACGTTGCACGCTTACGTAAACCCGCGCCTTCGACGTGGCGTTTCCTCCGGCTTCACTTCCGGTGGGCGGTGTGTTTTTGGAAATTTCCTTTGGTGCGGGCTCCCATTCATCGCTCTTCTGAAATGTTTCCTGGTCCTGCTATTGCGTGTCTCTGCTCTCTGGCAGCTGCGTGCCGAGACTCTTAAAAGGAGGGAGAAACGACAGCTTCCCAGCCTGACCAACCACCGTTGTCCTGTTGCTGCACCGAAGTGGGATTTCTTTCATAAATGCTTTCTGGTCTCACAGGGTGGAGTCATAGCTTGGGGTCTTGCTATGACTCATAATTCTGTAAAGAATTTATTGGGAGGCGACCCATAAAATAACCTGTAACTACAGAGTTCAGTTATGTGATTTATTAAGGCTCCCTTCCCCTAGCTTTGCTAAGCACCAAGTATGTTATCAGAGTGTGTGGTTTCGAATCCAGGTTGTTAGGAAACTGGTGCAGTTTTAGCCAGGTGGCCACGAGGTCCAATCTCTGTGGTCAAGCTCCACCCCCATCCTAATAGGATTCGCTGCTCCTGCTTCCTTGCCCGCCCTCCGGCGAAGTTTGTGCCGGCTAACACAAGTCCTGATACCAGTTTGTGACGGCTAACACAGGTCCTGATACCGATGTCAGTTTTTCCCAATTTCAGCTTCCTGCTCATCATGCACACCCTGGGATGCAGTAGGTGATGGCTCAAATAGTTGAGTACCAGACACCCACGTGGGAGACCTAAATGGAGTTCCTGGCTCCTGGCGCAAGTTTGACCCAGGCAGAGCTGTTGGGAGCAACTGGGGAGCGAACCAGCACAAGGAAGATCTGCTTGTCTCTACCTTTCGAATAGATAAAATAAATCGGTACAAAGCCAATTTGCTGCACAGTCATTTCAACTCCATTTTGTATGATTAGGTTCTAAAAAATTGAAAAGCTTCAAAGGCTGAATGAGAGGAAGCATTGTACTTGAAATAAGTTGATGGAGCCAGTGTAACTGAAAAGGTCTGCAGTGGCACAGCAGGTTAAAGCCCCAGCCTGCAGCAAGGGCATCCCATAAGGGCACCGGTCCCGGCTGTTCCTCTTCTGATCCATCTCTCTGCTATGGCCTGGGAAAGCAGTAGAAGCTGACCCAAGTCCCTGGGCCCCTGCACTCTCGTGGGAGACCCGGAAGAAGATCCTGGCTCCTGGCTTCGCATCAGCTCAGTTCTGGCGGTTTCTGTCATCTGGGGAGTGAACCATCAGAATGGAAGACCTCTCTCTCTGGCTCTACCTCTCCCTGTAACTCTGTTTTTCAAATAAATAATAATAAAAATAAAATAAGATAAGGTCTGCAGTTAGGTCAGGAGGTAGGTAGGATTTTTAACTCTGTTAGCGTGGTCTTTTTACATGCCAAGCTACCTGTACAAATAAAAAAAGTGTATGACTTACCATGCCATCCTAGTGCAATGGTTCAACGACCATTTAAGATTTAAATGCAGAATAATATGCTTTAGCTTTATGATAATAAAGGCAAGTTTCAACCTCCCATATGGAAAAAAAAGGATGCACTGAGACTATGCAAACTAAACTTACTTGACCTCAGTTGGACTATAAATATGATTTTCTGTCCATATATTTAGAGGCTTAATGGGATATTTCTAGTCCTAGATTTATTATTAAAAATGAACAAGATTCTATAATACATTTTTTAAAAAAGTATTTATTTGAAAGGCAAAGTTAGGAGAGACAGAAGGAGAGATCTTCCATCCACTGGTTCATTCCCCAAATGGCCACTAAAGCCAGGGACTTCTTCCAGGTGTCCCACATGGGTGGCGGGGGCCCAAAGCACTTCCCTTGCTTTCCCAGGCCATCAGCAGGGAGCTTGATTGGAAGTGGAACAACCAGAAATTGAGCCAGTACCCATATGGGATGCTGGCTTTCCAAGCCACAACTTAACCCACTATACCATGATGCCAGCCTTGAGGTTCTTTCTTAAAACACCACTTTTAGTTTAGTTTTTTTTTTTCCAGTTAATTTTAGTGTAGCCCTTGATCCAGAAGAGGCAATGGCATAGTGCTATTTGAAAATAGATATATTTTGAAATCATAAAAAAGACAAAATTCATAAAAAGGAACAGGATACTGTCATTAAGACTATAACATTTTCTTAAGTTGTAATTGGAAATAACTTGTTTTAATTAAAATGGAATCCCAGAAATATCTGTCCAGTTCAGCGAAATACAAGTGCTATGCTCATTACAAAACAAAGTACCTGAGATTTTTTTAAAAAATATTGAGTTATTTATTTGAGAAGCAGAGTTACAGACAGAGGAGAGAAAGAGAGAAAGAGTGAGAGGTAGGTCTTCCATCCACTGGCTCACTCCCTAAATGGCAGTAACAGCTGGAGCTAAGCTCATCCAAAGCCAGGAGCCAGGAGCTTCTTCCAGGTCTCCCACGTGAGTGCAGGGGCCCAAGCTCTTGGGCCATTTTCCACTGCCTTCCCAGGCCATTAGCAGAGAGCTGGATCAGAAGAGGAGCAGCCAGGACAAGAACCAATCCCATATGTGATGCTGATGCCGCAGGTAGTGGCTTAGCCTACTGCACCACAGCGCCAGCCCCAAACCTGAGATTTATAGAAAGAGAAATGCCAACAACTTAGGGAATTTTAAGAACAGAGCCACATCTACTGTTTCTTCAAAGGCACTATTATATACTAACTTCATAGACTACTTGAAAAAATTGGATACAGCTGTAATTGAATTCAATTTATTACTCAATTAGCTGAGATCAATTTCTGCCTGGCTTGGACCAAGAGTCCAAGGGACAGTGTGTTCTGCCAGCTAGGAATGAAGGTTACTCTATGCTAAAAAAAAAAAAAAAAAGCATACCTCTCCTCAACCTTTAAAATAATGTCCAGTGTGATTTTTATCTCAGTCAGTTTAAAGAGGGAATTAATAGATTTAATAGGAAATTCTCTTCTCCCATATGTTCTAAGAACATTCCGTTAAGTGTAGCACAGAAAATGGAAAGTTCTAGGTGAGGTATATATATTACATAAACACACACATTATTATTTCTAAATAAAGATGAATCCATTCAAAATGTTTTAATTGTTTGATGTTCATTGATAGCTTTACATTCTAGAAACTTATGTCATAACCTACAGCACCTCAAATAAAGCCAAAGAAATCCAAGAATCTTAGACCGGAAATATCCTGACATCAGATTAAATTCATGGGTTAATGGGCTATGTTATCATTATGGAACCTAATTGGATTGAAATCAGGAGGAAACTAATTCCTTGAGATAGCCAGAGCCAGTATTAAGACTGTTGTCCTAGGATCAATCTGAAGTAACATTTTTGAGATATAAAAAGAAGCATGGTTGTAATAGAAGAACTAAAAAGTTCATCTGAAAGAATACAAAAAGTGAATATTAGATATAAATTTCTTTTGTATTGGTAGAAAGTGACTACCTAAGTAAATGTCTTACAACCTGTTAAAATTATCATCCCCTGAAGGAGTCTACTTTTTCCCTAATCCTTCCATACCCCCACCATGAAATTTAAAGCTAAGGAATAATATTTTTTAGGTATAGTTAGTTTTTCTTTTTCTTTTTTTAAAGATTTATTTATTTATTTGAGAGATAGAGGCACTGGTTAACTCCTCCAAATGGCTGCAACATCCAGGGCTGGGCCAGGAGGAGGCCAGGAGCCAAGGTTTTCATCCGGCTCTCCCTTGTTGGTACTGGGGCCCAACTACTTGAGCCATCTTTCAATGCTTTCCCAGGCGCATTAACAGGAAGCTGGGTTGGAAGTGGAGCAGCTGGGCCTTGAATAGGTGCCAATATAGGATGCTGGAGATGCTGGCGCTGCAGGCAGAGGCTTCACCTACTTTGTCACTGTGCCACAGCGAAATCGTGACCCCCCCCCATCCATACAGTTAGTTTCTCAGTGCCACAAGATTTTATTTATTTATTTGAGAAGTAGAGTTACAGACAGTGGGAAAGACACAAAGGTCTTTGATCCACTAGTTCACTCCCCAAATGGCCACAACAACCGGAGCTGGGCCAATCGAAAGCTAGGAACCTGGAGTTTCTCCGGGTCTCTCATGTGGGTGCAGGGGCCCAAGCACTTGGGCCATCCTCCACTGCCTTCCCAAGCTGTAGCAGAGAGTTGGATCAGAAGATGAGCAGCTGTGACATGAACTGAGGCTTAGCTTACTATGCCACAGCAGTGGCTCCTAAGATTATATCTAAGATTTTATCATACCCTCTCAATTTCCTCCACCCCTATTAAGAATGCATAGATTTATTCTTTTTTTTTTTTTTTTTTTTTTTTTGACAGGCAGAGTAAGACAGTGAGAGAGAGAGAGACAGAGAGAAAGGTCTTCCTTTTTCCATTGGTTCACCCCCCAAATGGCCGCTACAGGGCGCGCTGTGCTGATCTGAAGCCAGGAGCCAGGTGCTTCCTCCTGATCTCCCATGTGGGTGCAGGGCCCAAGCACTTGGGCCATCCTCCACTGCCTTCTCGGGCCACAGCAGAGAGTGGACTGGAAAAGGAGCAACCGGGACAGAATCCGGTGCCCTGACCAGGTCTAGAACCCGGTGTGCCGGCGCCGCAGGCGGAGGATTGGCCTAGTGAGCCATGGCGCCGGCCAAGAATGCATAGATTTAAAAACTCACATTAATGTGTTCCTATTGGGGCCTTCTTTTGCTTAGAAAATGAATATCTGGTATGCCAAATTCAGATTTATATTTTTCTTGGACCAAACTTCAGAACATCAAGAGACCTTTTCAACATAACTGTCATTACAATAATGTCTAGTGAAGGGTTAGCATTGGCTATGGTGGTTAAAGCTGCTGCTTGTGCAGTTGGCATCCCATATGGATGACAGTTTGTATCCCAGCTGCTTCACATCTGATCCAGCTCCCTGCCAATGGCCTGGGAAAAGCAGTTGAAGATGGTGCAAGTACTTAGGCCCCTGCTGCCCACAAAGGAGACTCAGATGATCTTCCTGGCTCCTGTCTTTGGTCTGGCTCAGCCTTGGCTGTTAAGGCCACTTGGGGAGTAAACTAGAGGGTGGAAGATCACTCGGTCCCCCTCTCTGTAACTCTTTCAAATAAATAAATAACTTCTATAAAAAAAAAAAAACTTCAAGTTTAGAGTTATCTACGGGTCAGTGTTGTGGTTTAGTAGATTAAGCCACTGCATTGCTGGTATCCCATAGGAACACAGGTTCGAGTCCTGGCTGCTCTGCTTTCAATCCAGCTCCCTGCTACAGTGCCTGGGAAAGCAGACCCAGACGTAGTTGATGCTCTCGGATTTGGCCTGGCCCTGCCTAAGCTATGGGGAGTGAACCAGTAGATCAAAGGATCTGTCTGTTTCTGCCTCTCCCTCTCTGTCACTCTGCATTTCAAATAAATAAATAAATCTTTTTTAAAAAAAGAGTGGTCTAAACATACTGTCCACATGTGCTGAACAATGAAAAATTTCTGGCAAATATTGGCTTCATCAACATTTTCTCTATTATATAAAGATGTTCATTTATCTTTTCATTTACTCAGTCAATACATATTTGTATTATGTGTTATGCAGTGATATCCAGTGGTGAGATAGTCTTTACCTTCATGGGGTTTACAATATAGTTCAACTTGTTCCTTTCTCTCTTTATCTCTTACATATAGATTCCAACCATTATTGGTGCTATGGGTCACAGCAAAGTCAAGGTGACAATTTGCTTTGGTAATTCCTACACTACTTCAGATAGTTTAGCCATAGAAGAATCCCATGAATTATTTGAAGAAATATGCTGGGCCGGTGCTGTAAAGGTAAAGGTAAAGATGCTGCCTGCAGTGCCAGCATCCCATATGGGCGCCGGTTCGAGACCTGGCTGCTCCACTTCTGATCCAGCATTCTGCTATAGCATGGGAAAGCAGTGAAAGATGGCCCAAGTCATTGATACCCTGCACCCGTGTGGGAGACCTGGTAGAAACTTCTGGCTCTGGATAGGCCCAGCGGATGAAAGACCTCTCTCGCTGTCTCTCTTTCTCTGTGTAACTCTTTCAAATAAATAAATAAATAAATCTTTTTTTTTTTTTTTTTTTTGACAGGCAGAGTGGACAGTGAGAGAGAGAGACAGAGAGAAAGGTCTTCCTTTGCCGTTGGTTCACCCTCCAATGGCCGCCGCGGCCGGTGCGCTGCGGCCCGCGCACCGCGCTGATCCGATGGCAGGAGCCAGGAGCCAGGTGCTTTTCCTGGTCTCCCATGGGGTGCAGGGCCCAAGCACCTGGGCCATCCTCCACTGCACTCCCTGGCCACAGCAGAGGGCTGGCCTGGAAGAGGGGCAACCGGGACAGAATCTGGCACCCCGACCGGGACTAGAACCCGGTGTGCCGGTGCCGCTAGGCGGAGGATTAGCCTAGTGAGCCGCGGCGCCGGCCAATAAATAAATCTTTAAAAAATATATGCTATGGTGGGACCACAAGGTATTGGATTTAGAATACAAATTACTATGTTCTTTATCTTCAGTATCGTTTTTGTGAAACCTTGGAAGTAATTTAAATTCTGGAAGCCTTGCTTTACTTATCTTTAAAACAGAGTGAGAAACACTTTGCAGGGTGGTTGTGCATCATAATGGCCATATGTTACAACATATTCCTCAGAACCTGGTGGAGTTGGTGTATTAGAGAAAATGTGCTTTAAGAAACCCTTGTGAAAATTGACTTAAGAAAAAATATTCTTCCAGACATTCATGTGTAAGTGACCATGGTGTACTGTGCAAAAACCACTCATTCAAGGAGACAGAACTATTTTTTACTCTCCCGTTCAATCAAGAGGGCATAGTGACTTTGGTTAGGTACCTTCTTTCATTGAATATTTTCCATTTGATTATGAGATGTCATTTGTGACCAAAAAAGATTATGCCAAGGGGTCTCCCGAGCTCTAAAGCACGTCAACTGTGATACAAGAATCAGCTTACCTTCTAAAGTCATCGTGACATTCCCCATGGATTTTAAGTTTTTACCCGAGTATTTATGGATATTAACACAGCAGTAAAGCTTTCAAAAACATGAATTGATTTGTTTATTCATAATTGAAGTCAGATCTGTATGCCTTAGAGGAGCAATTTCATGAAATCAAACGTCACTGATGCCTCCAAATAAACTCTGGTTATCCAGGGAGCGGCTAATTGGGGCCCTCTCCTCACTCAGGCCAGCAACGTCTTCCATTCAACCCACGCAAATCATTTCTCCAGGAATCCACCGGCCTGCGGGACCTGGATTTGTTAGCGCAGCAGGCCGGAAGTCCCTCCCTACCAAAGGACCCCTGACCCGGCTCGGGGGAGGGCGCAGCCGGCCGAGCTGGGGTCCTTCGGCGGAGCGACCGAGCCGCTCTTTGTGGCTGCGGATTGGAGGAGTGGGAGGTGAGGGGGTGGGCCGAATGCCGGAAGTGACGCAAGGCGGAAGCGGCTCTCCGCACAGAAATCGTGGGCGCGGGTTTGTAAGTTAGGATGTAAGGTTGAAACAATCAGGAGAGGATCTCTCTGGTTTGGGGAAATTGTCCGGTTCGTTAGGGATTCTGTCTCTAGGCCTGTGTGGTTTTTGTTGTTGTTGCTGTTGTTCTTGGTGGGGCAGCGCCTTCCAGTGATTTCAGTGAGAATTTCCAGCGGACCAGACGGGTGGAGTGGAGGCGAGGAAGCCGCTTCGAATCCCACGTTCCCCCGCCTCACCGAATGTAACTTGGAGGGAGCGGAGCGATTTCCTGGCGTGCTGGTGGGCTTGGCGTTTTGGCTGCTCACTGTCAAGACTCTGTAGTTTGGAAAGAACGAGCGTTTTTTTCTTGCAGGAAGACTAACAAGAGGAAAATGTCTGTTTTCCCTAAAATATCTTTGAGACCTGAGGTTGAACATTATCTTAAAGAGGGCTTTTTGAATAAGGAGGTAGGTCAGATAAAACTATTTGCAAAAACTCAACTTTACGCATTCTAGAGAAATATGAAAGTGACTTGCAGGCCTTTTCGTATTCTTCAGAATCTTTTTTTTTTTTTTTTTTCAGTTTTTGTTCAAATCGAGACCGCTGTTATCGAAGTCTGTAGCACATAGCTCAGGAGCAGTTTAAACAAAGCACACAGGTTTAGAACCTCAGACTCAGTTCCAGTGCTTGGAGTGAATTGATAATGGTTTCGGATACAAGGTGGTTTTGGGGTGTTAAAGTGAGGGAAAGCAACCGGCGTCACTAAAGTGTAAATCCTCAAAAATAGTTGTCTGCTGCAGGCCGTGCCTAGTGTCAAAGTCCTCAGTGCACACTGATTGTCTTGCATTGCAAGACTTGTGCTCTAGTCCATTTACCAGGTTGCCTCCACGCAACTTCCCCGCCCCCCCCGCAACCGCTTTTTATTCAGAGCTACTTAAATTTTTAATATTGAAGCCATGGCATTTAGATTTGGCTTCTACATTTATTTACAAATACTATATTAAGGGACTAAACTGTATAGAAAGAGAAAACCTCTTCTCTATTTTAAGGCATAAAGTAAGAGAAGTATGGTATTGACAGTTTTTTTTTCCTCCACCAATTTTAAAAATGAACATTGTTTTACTAAAATAAGTTCCAAATACCTTTTGACACCACCTGTCTCCAACCAACCAACAGTATGATTTTAAGGAAAGAAAAACCATGTTTTGTAAAAAGTGTTGAAGGGAACTACTTTTTGATAAAATGAAACCTTGAGAAAGAAAATATGACCGCTGTAAGACTAGTGGCTTGGTAGGCTGGTCAGTAGTTTATGAACTCTGTGAGGAGGGGTATAGTAAAAAATGCCAAAATGAGGAGGAGGGGAATGTGTGCCATGAAAAGCTTTGGTTAATTAGGAGGGAACCTGGCTGTTTTGAGTCTATACGTTCATTTGTGACATACCTACTCTTTTTTGGACTGTTAACTATTTGTTACATTTAATAATACCATGTTAAGCTAATGTTCTGGAGGATGTTTGGATAATAGAATATCAGTGTTAATTATTCTACTAATACTGGTATTTTAAAAGGCTACCAGCCAGTTTGGCTGGGGATATAATTTTAGCAAGTAAGTGGTGCAACAGAAGTGCTGTAACAGTTTATGCTTTGTATATGAATAAAGTGAAATCCTCCATGGATGTGAATAAATGTTGCCGATACCAACAGTTTAGGTTGAGGCAGTGTTTTTCTAAGCCCTTTATGTTAAGCTTTGTTAGGTATTTATTACCACAATTAAACCCAACAACCCTGTGAAGTATTACCATTCTCTTAGTGGTGTGAACACATAAACAATATAGCAAAATGAAAGAGAAGGAGCAAATTGCTTAAAGACACTGTATTACGTAGAAGAAACACGTAAGTGTATTCTGAATATTCTTAGTTTTAGAAATGAAAACATTAACTTGTTTTTTTCAGGTTGTATCTACTTCAGGTAAACAAGAAGCAGAAAGGAAGTTTGAAACCCTTTTAAATCGCCTGTCGCACCCTCCATCATTCACAACAGTTAGAGTGAATACACATCTAGCCTCCATACAGTGTGTGAAAAATCTGTTACATGATGAACTTCAGAAGGTTTGTGCAAGTTTTTTGTTTCACTTTATAGAAAACTACATCTCTACAATCTCATATCACTCCTATTGAAATCCTGTGAATGATAGAATATTCCAGTGTTACAAATGAGGAATTTTGAGAATCATGAATCTTAGGTATCTTGAGGTTACATAGTAAGTGTTAATGCTGGAACTTAAACCTCCCACTTCTGATTCTGAATTTATTGTTTGTTTATTTTTAAGATAGGTTGCTAATTCCCTGAGGTGTTAGTTGTTTCATTAAAATACAGTTGATGGGGAGGACATTTGGTGCAGCTGCTAAAATTGCCACATGGGATGCCTGCATCCCATATCAGAGTCCCTGGTTCAGGTCCTGGGGCCTCTGCTCTCAATCTGGTTTCCTGCTAGTGTACACTCTGGTAAGCATTGGTGATGGCTTCCAGGAATCGAGTTCTTGGGAGGCTCAGATTCCAGATTCCTGGCTTTGGCCTGGCCTAGCCCTGATTGTTGAGCCAGCAAAAGGATCGTTTCTCTTTCTTGCTCTCCCTTTCAAGTAAAAATGAAAATAAAATTAGAAATATACAATACATGTAAAGAGATTAATTCTAACCCTAAAAGTCTGTTACTTTGTAATAAGCAGCATACAATAAATAGAGAATACTGTATATCTGAGATAGGCCCAGAGGTAGGGAGGTATCTGCTGAGGACATATAGGATTTTATATACATATATATGTATAATTTTAAAAAATATTTATTTATTTGAAAGACAGAGTTAGAGGTGGAAAGAGAGAGCTGTCTTCGATCCACTGCTTCACTCCACAAATGGTTGAAACTGCTGGGGCTGGGCCTAACGGAAGCCAGAAGCCTAGGGGCTTCTTCTGGGTCTCCCACCTGGGTGCAGGGGCCCAATCACTTGAGCCATTTCCATTGCTTTCCCAGGCACATTAGCAGAGAGCTGGATTGGAATGGAGCAACTGGGACATGAACTGGCGCCCGTGTGGGATGCTGACATTGCAGGTAGCAGGTTAATCCATGAATGCCATGATGCTTACCCTAGGATTATATTTTTAATTAAGCTTGAGTTAAGAAATAGATGTGAAAGCACCTTGCTTTTAATAAAACCAGGAAATTAGAACAAGATAAATATAACATTTTTAAAACAAAGCATTTGTTTTCAAACAGTGACATGGTTCTGGGATAGTATGTTTCTTTTGTAAGTGAAAACAGTATTATAAAATAATATTTTATAAGTTGCAAGTAGAAAAATAATATTTGAGTTATCATGCTTATATTATCTTCTTGGTTTTAAAAACCTGTGCATTTTGTGTTTTAGACACTCAATGAAATTTTCTTCTACAGTACTCAAGATGGAGGAAAATTGATGCCTGAGGGAGAACCTCATAAATTGTGTATTATAGTTATTAAATCTCTTAAGATAAGTAACTCGTGCATGTCAGCAGACCTATTTTTATCTGATTTGTACATAAATTAAAAACAAGAGGCAAGCCTGATTAAGGGGGTTTCTATTTGTTTGCCAGAGGCTGTTACCAGTTTACTATAGATAGAACATTTAGCAGTTTCTGGAAGTTATCACTGGTATGGATTTACTTACCCCTTTTTCTTTACTCTCATTTTTTTTTTTAAGATTCATTTATTTATTTTAAAGAATTAGAGAGAGAGAGAGAGAGAAATCTTCCATCTGCTGGTTCACTCCCCAGTTGGCTGCAACTGCGCTGCGCTGCAGCTGCGCTGATCCAAAGCCAGGAGCTGGGAGCTTCTTCCGGGTCTCCCACACCTGTGCAGGGGCCCAAGGACTTGAGCCATCCTCCGCTGCTTTCCCAGTCCACAGCAGAGTTGGGTTGGAAGTGGAGCAACCAGGTCTCAAACCAGCCTCCATATGGGATGTTGGCACTGCAGCCCAGGGCGTTAACCCGCTGCACCATAGCACTGGCCCCAACTCTTATTTTGTTTCTGGAGCATTTGTCATATGATCCTTAAGAAAAGTGCTTAACAAATTTCAGGTTGTGAGTAGATGACCATGCAATAAGAAGAACAAGCTATGATACCTGAGTGCATAAGGCCAAAATTTAGTATAATAAATAAGATGTGGAGAAAAATTAATCTGATTTTACTTTTTGATAGTAGTAATCTTAGAGTTATGACATTAGGCCTAAAGATGAGCTGTTCCTCAAAGCAAGAACAACGATGACTTTAGTACAGCCGTGTAAAGGTCATGGAAAGGAAATGTCAGAGACTATCACAAGATCAGTAATAAAGGCAGAAGCAGATTTTTTGCATTTCTACAAGCTATTCCTTGAACCTGGGTATTCCAGTATCCCAGTAGGGTAATGAGTTTAGAAAATCTCATGAAGGGCCGGCGCCGTGGCTCAATAGGCTAATCCTCCGCCTGCGGCGCCGGCACACCGGGTTCTAGTCCCGGTCAGGGTGCTGGATTCTGTCTCGGTTGCCCCTCCTCCAGGCCGGCTCTCTGCTATGGCCCAGGAGTGCAGTGGAGGATGGCCCAAGTGCTTGGGCCCTGCACCCCATAGGAGACCAGGAGAAGCACCTGGCTCCTGGCTTTGGATCAGCGCGATGTGCTGACCACGGTGGCCATTGGAGGGTGAACCAATGGCAAAAGGAAGACCTTTCTCTCTGTCTCTCTCTTTCTCTCTCACTGTCCACTCTGCCTGTCTAAATAAAAAAAAAAAAAAAAGAAAAGAATATCTCATGAAGTAGGTTGGGCAGGCAGAATCAGTCTAGGTATTGGTCCCTTTCCTTAAAGTTTAAGATTTGACAAGGGAGTTTGGTTTATAGGCATCAGATGGGAAATTAAAGGGACTTGGAGGCTTTAGATTATAGAATTTTTTTTAAAAGATTTATTTTATTTATTTGGAAGAGCTAGAGAGAGAGAAAGAGATTGAGATTGAGATTGATCTTACATTTGCTGGTTTACTCCCCAAAGTCAGGACTGGGCTAGGCCAAAGCCTGGAGCCAGGAACTTCTTCTGGGTCTCTAAGGTAAGTGCAGGGACCAAAGCACTTGGGCCATCCTCAGCTGCTTTCCCAGGTGTATTAGCAGGGAGCTGTACTGGAATTGGAGCAGCTGGGAATTGAACTGGCACCCATTTGGGATGCTGGCATCGCAGCTTAGTGGCTTTACCCTCTATGCCATAGTGCCGGCCCCCACACTGTACATTTTCTTCGATTTTGCACATTCCAGACTTCATGTGTGTCCTAAAAAGATGTCCCTAGTGATATAAGACTAAGTGCTTTGTTCTCAAATATTTGTGCACCACGTATTGGAATTTAACAATTGAAAATTTCATTTGATTGGCAAGAATGTTGACAGACTAGAACTTGCATACATTATGATTGAGAATGTAAATAACAATCTCTTTGGAAAAGTTTGTTAATCTTGAAAAAATTTAAACAAAAAAATTTAATGTATCTACTTGAAAAAAATGAAACCATATGTGCATACAAATTCTTGACGAAGAATGTTTATAGCAGCATTATTCATAATAGCCAAAATGGAATAGTCTTCAAATGTTGATAAATTCATGCTAGATATGTGGTATATTCATGCAGTAGAGTATTATTCAGCAGTGAAAGTAATGAACTACTGATTCATGCCTCAACAGAAATTAACCTCAAAAACAAATTAAGTCAATTTTGTGGTACAGTGGGTAAAGGCATTGCCTAGGATATTGGCAGTCCATTTCTGAAAGCAGGTTTGAACCCCAGCTGGTCTGCTTCTGGTCCAGATTCCTGGCAGTGCTGTTGGGAAAGTGGTGAAAGATGGTCCATGTGCTTCGGCCCTGCCACCCATGGGGCAGATCTGGATGGAGTTCGTGGCTGTTGTGGCCTTTCTGGGGAGTGAAGCAGTGGATGGAAGGAAGATCTCTTGTCCTTCCTCTTCCTTCTCCAATAAATACCTCTGATTTTTTTTTTCTTTTAAAAGATTTTGTTTTATTGGAAAGGCAGTGTTACAGAGAGAGGGAGAGACAGAACTTTCATCTGCTGCTTTACTCCCTAAATGGCCACAGCGGCTGGAGCTGGTCCAGATGGAAGCCAGGAGCTTCCTATGGGTCTCCCACATGGATTCAGGGGTCCAGGGACTTTAATGGAAATTATCTAAAACTGGACAGTTTCTTTATTAAAAATAATTGAATTGAATGTTGAAATATGGGTGAATTTTAGATTGTGTTCCAGTAGGCTGTTTTTAAAAGGGCTTGGGCAGAAATGAAGCAGATGATATGCTTAGCTTAAAATAAGTTATGGGGGCCAGTGCTGTGGTGTAGTGAGTAAAGTTGCCGCCTGCAGTGCTAGCATCCCATATGGGTGCTGGTTCAAGTTCTGGCTGCTCCACTTCTGATCCAGTTCTCTGCTATGGCCTGGGGAAGCAGTAGAAGATGGCCCAAGTCCTTGGGCCCCTGCACCCTACCTGGGAGACCCAGAAGAGGCTCCTGATTTCAGAATGGCCTAGTTCTGGCCCTTGAGACCATTTAGGGGTGTGAACCAGTGGAAGGAAGACTTTTTTCTCTGTCACTCCCTCTCTGTAACTCTACCTCTCAAACAAACAAAATCTTAAAAAAAAAAAAAAATAGTAAGAAAGTTTGTGTGTGTGTGTGTGGGTGGTTTTATCAAGTTTTATTTCTGTATCACCTTAACATACTCAAATTAGAAAAGTAAAGAAGAAAACCTTGAACTGAGAAGGATTAATTTCTGTGTACAGTATTTCTATAGCGTAAAGCAAGTAGAACTTATAAACAGAAATGACAAAATTCATTATTGTTGTTCTTTTTGGAGAACTCTAGTGTCCTTGATATTTAAGGGAGGGAGGAAGAGGAAGTGAAGGCAGGAGGGTTTTCACTGAATGAGGAATTAATATTTCAGTTTGCTTATTAGCTACCTGTTGGATGTGGTTGTAGTCTGAATATCCTTGGAAAGAAATCCAGAGAGCTGTTCAGTTGGTAGAAATCTGCTGTTCTAAAACATGAAGTTTTTTATACACTGAGAAATGAAGCAGTTGATTTTGGAAGTTTTTTCTAGATTGATGTATGGACACTACAGGACAAATGAAATGTGTATTATTGTTCTTTCATGTAGTTTCTGAAACTTGAGTTGATAAACCCTAACCTACACGGCACAGACTTACTCATGTCCAGTTCTTAGTCTTGACTTCTGATATACAGCCCCTGTTACCTAGTCCACTGTGCAGCTTTATGATTTCTGTGTATAAACCACTTTGCAGAAAAAGTAACCCAGCCATGTTTGCTGATTTCCACCTTGCACATACTCCCACTCACCTGTCAGTTTCACATCCCCAGCATGGCAGTGGAATTAGGAAGAGGTGCACACAGTGGCTCTCCTGATCCTTTGTGAGCTGGCGCCAGCAGCTATGGCACTGGTGCTGCACCGTATCTAACCTGACTAGCCAGTTGTGATTGAAGATACTGAAAGTCCTGTACCTCTGCCAAAAAGCATTTATTTCCCTCACCAAAACTGACATGGTTTCCAGTGTTGATAGTGTGTATTAAGTAATATTGAATAATCTCAATCTTTAATGTTCTGTTCAGAAGCTTTTCTTGAATGACTACTACATGTAACTCTGTATAGGATATATGTTTGCAAAGTCACTTAAGGTAAACATGATTTGTGTTTATAAAGCCAACAGTAAGCAAAATTGAGTCTCGCAAGGGAGTCTGTATGCATCAAATTACAATTAAATTATAGAGAAAACACTGTTTTAGGGTCTTTATGATTTTTTTATACTATTCCATGAAATAAAGTGAAAGTGCCCCAAAGTAAGCCTCATGCTCTGGTAGATAATGATACTGAAAAGCTCCATAAATGGAAATTTATGAAATATATTGATTGCTTTCTAATTATGTTTTTAAACCATCTAATACTGTGTTCCCATTAATGTGATATTAATGCAAAGAGAATAGATTCAGTATAGTTCATAGGTACAGTTCTCAGATTATAATGATATTCTCTTTCTCCTTCCTTCCCTCCTCTGTCTTCTCCCACCCTCTCTATTTATGTTTATTTCTAACAGCAGTTTAATGGATTAAGTGTCCCTGTCTTTCAACACCCAGACCTCCAGGATGTCTTACTTATTCCAGTTGTTGGACCTAGGTTTGTAATTATTTCATTTTCAAAGTTCTAAATATGTTTTTTTTTAACTGTTTGGTGATCAGACTAAGTCCTTGATAGCAATTTTATATAGATAAATAGGAATTCATAAATGCTGTCTTCATACTCGGTTATAGAAAATATTACGAAAGAAGACTATGAATGGGCCTAAGGACCTCAAGAGTAATGCATCTTAGGTCCATTTATTTCAGTGACTATTGTTTCTTTTTCAGTTTCTGAGAAGCTTCATTTCATTTCTAAGCTCTGGAATCTCATAAGAAATCCCAAATTATTTTGAGCTGAAAGAAACAAAATTTATTTTTATAAGCAGTTTATTTCCTATTTTTGTAGCTGCTGTTTGAAAATTTTGTTTGTAGTTCAAGAATTATGTTAAATTACTGTGGGCCAGGCATTATTCTACTCAGTTATGCATTTTGAAGGCATATGTTTGAAAATTGAAAAGTAGGCCTTTATTTTTATAATGTGAGTTTATTCCCAAGGAACATTTTTAAAATCCTTAAGTACGGTATAGTTTTTTAAATGAAGAGTTGCAATAAAAATGACACTTTGCTAAAGTTTTTTTTTTTTTTTTTTTGACAGGCAGAGTGGACAGTGAGAGAGAGAGACAGAGAGAAAGGTCTTCCTTTGCCGTTGGTTCACCCTCCAATGGCCGCCGCGGCCGGCACGCTGCGGCCAGCGCACCGCGCTGATCCAATGGCAGGAGCAGGGAGCCAGGTGCTTTTCCTGGTCTCCCATGGGGTGCAGGGCCCAAGCACCTGGGCCATCCTCCACTGCACTCCCTGGCCACAGCAGAGGGCTGGCCTGGAAGAGGGGCAACCAGGACAGAATCCGGCGCCCCGACCGGGACTAGAACCTGGTGTGCCGGCGCCGCTAGGCGGAGGATTAGCCTAGTGAGCCGTGGCGCTGGCCACTTTGCTAAAGTCTTAACCTGGTAGTCAACAGTAGAGCAATGGTTTCATGAATTATGATTTACTGCACAATAAAATACTTTCTGACCTTTAAGGTGGAAGAATTATGTGTACCAATAAGATAAGATATTCATGATCTGTTGTTAAATACCAAAAACAATTGGTTATACTGAGTGATTACATTTCTTTTGCAATCAAGAAATACAACTGCACATTCATGTATTTTGCATTTATAAAAAAGTCTGAGAGCTAAATATAATCCAACTCTTAACAGTGGTTAACATTGAGGAGGTTGGGGGAAAATAGGTAAGTCAAAGGAGATTTTCACTTGTAATATTTGTTTTATTTGTTACTATTAGCATGTATAATTTTGTATTTTAAAAATTTATGTTGTAGGTCTCGGTCTATTTTTTTAAGATTTATTTTATTATTTGAAAGGCAGAGTTAGAGATCTGTCTTCCATTGGCTCACTCCCTAAATTGCCACAAGATCTGGGCAGAAACCAGGAGCCAGAAGCTGCTTCTGGGTCTCCCATGTGGGTACAGGGACTTGACTGCTTGGGCCATCTTCCACTGCTTTCCCAGGTATACTAGAAGGGAGCTGGGAAGTGGAGCAGCCAGGACTCAAGCCGGTGCCCATATGGGATGCTGGCACTGTAGGCGGCTTTACCTGCTATGCCACAGTGCTGGCCCCTGTTCTTTTTTTTTTTTTTTTTTTTCGTTGAAAGCAACATTTACATAGTGAAATGAGGAGATACTAAGTTTGCTGAGTTTTTGCCAGATAGATACAACTGTGAAGCCAAGACCTACCCATCCAAGGTATGGAGTGTTTTCATCACCCCAGAAAATTCTCTCGTACTGTGCCATACTACAAGGCAGTCACTGATCTGATTTCTGTTTTCTGTTAGTTTTGAACCAGTCAGCTACTATAGTAGATCATAGTCCCAGGTCTTTTGAGGCAATACTCCTCACATGGATGCACATGCATTGCTGTTCAGAATTTGACCAACTGTTACTCTGTTAAATTCCTTATTTATAATTTTAATAGATAGTTTAATTAAGTTTTTCTTTATAAAAGTAAGGCAAACTTGTAAAATTGTACATAAATGTAAAAGTAATTTTTCATGACATCTTCCATATAACCTCACAATTCTGTTTCTCTGACCATTGATTGTGAATTCTTACGTGCAGTCTCTGTGCTTACACCCGCACACTTGAATGCTTGTGTACATTGATTTGTACACATTTGTAAAAAATAGAAAGGTTGATATATAGCGTACAATTACTTTTCATTTTAGAATATACGTGTTATAGCCATCTTTCCATTTTTTTGATTTTTTTCAATTGCTATGTAAGTAGAATGCTTTACCTTTGAGCTCAGTTTTAATTTTTCAACCCACTATTGAAAGGCATTTAGTTTTTCTCTGCTTTTCATTATTACAAAAAATGTCGCAGTGGATATTTGTGGACTTGGGTAAACATGTCTATAGTGTAAATTGGTATGACATGGAATTATTTGTTCGGAGGTCTTATGTTTGTTTTAGTCATGCATATTTCCAAAGTGACTTTTTTTTTCATTACTTTAGTACATACTTGGTCTTCTCTGTGCTTTGCTTTCCACATTTCTAAAATGGGGATTAAAAATACTAATTATTCATTAGGATTTTGTGAGGCTTAAGTCAGTGCTTAGAATAGTGCGTGGTGATTGTGGATAGTTACTAATTGTTAGCAATTCCCTTTACTTCTAATTTCAGTTTTTGCTTTCCTGTGTTTTTTTGAGTTCTGTTAGCTACTTTTTTTTTTTTAGAAAAATATCTATAAAATATTTATTTGAAAGGCAGAAAAACAGATATCTTCCATTTATTTGTTTACTCCCCAAATGGCTGAAATAGTTTGGGACCAGGCCAAAGCCTAGATCCAGGAATTCCATGCAGGATGACTGCCAGTGGCTCAAGCACTTGGGCCATCCTCTGCTCTCTTCCTAGGTACATTAGCAGGGATCTAGATCAGAAACAGAGTGGTTAAGACTCATACTGGTACTCTAGTGTGTGATGCTGGCACCACAAAGCTGGTCCTTCATTGTGTTTTATGTTTTTGTTAATTTTTTTATCTTCTTTTAAAGATTTATCCTTTTAGTTTCTTTAGAAATGCTGAGATGTATTTGAATTTTTCTCCTTTTTATGGCTATGCATTTTATAATCTTTTTAAAAAATTTTTAAAGGATTTTATTTATTTGAGTGGTAGAGTTACAGAGAGTGAGAGCAAGAGACAGAAAGGCCTTCCATCCACTGGTTCACTTCCCAAATGGCCACAATGGCCAGAGCTATGCCACTCCAAAGCCAGGAGCCAGGAACTTTTTCTGGGTCTCCCACGTAGGTGCAGGGGCCCAAGGACTTGAGCCATCTTCTGCTTTCCCAGGCCATAACAGAGAGCTGAATTTGAAGAGGAGCAGCTGGGACTAGAACCAGTGCCTGTATGGGATGCCGGTGCTGCAGGCAGAGGATTAACCTACTGCGCCACAGTGCGGGCCCTTGTAATCTGCCTTTTGCTTGCTCATCTCTTCCTTGGTATTACTGATACATGAGTTCCATGTTGATGTTGAGGGAATCCTCACTTTTCATTCATAAGATGGAAACAGTTACACTGTACTTCACAGTTAGATTAAGAGTGGACCAGGGTATAGTAAATAAACATCCTTGGAGACCAGTCACAGGCATTTCTTCAGGAATTATTTGATCGGGTCTTTTCTGGTGGTACCGCACCAGTCCCAGTGGGCAGAGCTGCTAGACTGGGCCTTTCTGTGAAATCTTCAAGCACCTGCCTTTACTGATGGGAGCTTTAACCCTGCTTAGTTAACTCAGAGCAGAACCTGCAGTTAGTTACTACTTGCCTTCTTCTGCCTGAGCTGCTTCTAGGCAGTTGATTCAGTTTTGTTAGAGAAAAGATACTGTGATGTTTCTGACAGTCCAGTTCCTCTCTCAGACTTACTGCTGTGAGCAGGACACTGATAAGACTTCTTTGATTTTTTTTCTGTTAAACCTCTAGTCTTGGTTCTAATTAATGAATGTCTGATTAGCCTCCTAGGAGTTCTTCTTGTCAGAGACATCCAAACCCTGCTGAGCTAGATTTGGTCTAAATTTCACTGTGCCAAGCAGCTTTTCTTCATTATTGGGATTGTAATTGTAGTTGTGTCTTAGTTTTATTGGAAATAGAGTTTCCCTCTTATACTTTGTTCTTTTTTTCTCCTTAGATTTAAATAAGCTTTAGAGAAAGGAGTACATTTTCTTACTCTGTGTGCTTTAGTAGCTCAGTATCACACAATGTTTAAAGATTTTTTTTTATTTATTTGAAAGACAGTGACGGAGAAGAGAGAAGGGATGAGGGGTGGGGAAGGGATCGATTTTCCTTCCTACATGCCACAATGGCCAGGGCCAGGCCAGATGGAAGCTAGGAGCCAGGAACTCCATCTGGGTTTCCTGTGTGGGTGGTAGGAACCCAAGTACTTGAGCCTTCATTTGCTGTCTCCCAAGCGTATTTAACAGGAAGCTGGTCACAAGTGAAGGAACTGGGATTCAAGCCTGCATGCTGATATTTGATATGAGTACCCCATGTGGCAGCTTAATGTGCTGCGCCACAATGCCTGCCCCATACATAATTTTTAAAATATATAAAACATGGGGTAAGCTTTATTTATGGATCAGAAGTAGAACAGTCACGACATGAACCGGTGTTCTGCAGGTGTAGATTAACCTGTTGCACTACACCTCTGGCCTTTTGTTCTCCCTCCTGATTTGCATCTTTCACAGTTGCCTTGTCACTGTTTTCAGTTCTGTCTTAGTCACTTTGTTCTCATGATTCTGGAGACTGAAAGTCCCACATGGTGCCAGCACTGTTGTGTTCCGGTAAGGTCTACATCCAGAGTCTAGATGACTGAGCTCTTACTGTATTCTCACACTGCAGAAAGTGAACAAGCTCTCTGTCCTCCTTTAATAAGACACTAAACTAATTCTGGAGGCTCCACTCTGCTACCTAATCACCTTCCAAAGGCACATTGGGTTTAGGGCTTCAATGTAAG